TGATAATCCCACAGTAATACAGTAAATCACAAAGCACCACTGTTAAGTAAGGAAAAGCCCAAAGCTGCTCAGCCTTTCTCCCCCTTTCCTTCGCCAAAAGAACAAAATAACAAGCAAAATCAACTGGAATGGCAAAAATAAAAAAAAATTTAAAAGTTGTTCTCCCCTCTTTACATCACTGATTTCATCTACACTAAAAAAACACTAACAAAAAGGAGCTACCACATGAAAAATACTTGGTGGCCCATGTAAAAGAAGTTCCACTCTAATATCAAAGTACCCACATCACAAGCTGAGTCACCTGTGAGGATCTGGAAAAAAGTCATAGTCAACTGCAATGGGAAGCTAGAAAACACCGTGCTATTAGCCTAGAGGCTGACCTACAGTTAGGAATACACTAAAAATTAAACTCTTACTTTGGAACAAACCATTCACTTACTGTCTCAAATACACCCATCACCTGTGCATGTGCGCAGCTGCTAACAGTGACAAAAGGAAAAATTACTCAGGAAACCAAAAGACCAAACACTTCAGTTTATAAGAATCTCCACTTTTGGATCACTGCTGCTGCTCTTCTGGAAAACTGGCTTTCATGATTCAGTCTCTATCTCTGGTCATAAGAGGAAAAAGCAGTAGAACTAAGCAGCTAGCTGACATAACTTCAGGCATGAACCATGTGCACACAACTATTAAAAACAAAAAGTAATAAATGGTGTGTTCTTAATCTCAACACAGAACTCTATTCACTATTATCATTCATTAATAATTCATTATTATCTGTGATAATAAATATTATTAATATCTGTGATAATTCATTATTATCTGTGAACTATGAAGCTAACACACCGGACTATAGGTAAACAAAAATAGAGGACGAAAAACATGTGATGCAAAAATGTATGGTTGGTGATCTTTTCAATTTCCATGGCAGCTAAAATCTTCTCAAGCAAAAATCTATTCATTCTTACCTTTTATTTCACACACAGCCATCTTTATACTTCCTTTGCTGCCTTTGCAAACATCATCCTGGGAATCATAGTATGACAATATCCCATTGTCTAAAACAAACCACCGAGGCTGCCAACCTAGAGAGACCAAAAATGTGAAATAGAAAAGTTTAGTCTAATTCCTAAATTGAAAATAAATCTCTTTCACTGTTAAAACTTTAATAAAAGAGGCAAACATTAAATTATTCTTGTAACACACGAGGAAGTAATCAATCTGTGCAGTCTGAAGACCAAAGCCACTCTATAACCAAACTAGTGTTATATGGATATTCCACTCCCATTCTTTTTGGGTGCAAGATTTTTCTTCTGTTTTCACTGTATTCCATTCTAGAGAAAAATTAAATTTTAATTTATCCACCACAGAATCCTGTTTTGAAGGCTGTTAAATTACACACCTTTGAAAACCCACTCTCATTCAAATATATTTTTCAGGCAGATTTTTCTAAGATTGTAGGAACTTATTTGTAAGACACAAATAAATGAATGATACCATCAACTGCTATGCTATGTTGTCCTTTAGCTACTGTATTTCAGTGAAAATTTTATATTTCACATTTATGTATTGCCACTTTCTCAATTTCTACAAATAACACAGCACTAAAATATTCCAGTAGAGCATAACAATTACACTGGCCCATTATACCCTGGGACAGCTGTACAATAGGAGTAGATTATCCCTCTGTTTTACGACTTGACACCAAACTTTAACTTCCTGCTTGGTTTAGGATTTGGAATGGCAAAAACTGTGTGGCTAAGCCCTGTGGGTATTTGGCAACATGACAGTGGCCCAGGGTGCTTTCCAGCTGCCATCCCAACAAAGCGAGCTGAGGCCATCCAGTAGCAGTCTATTTTAACACAGGAGGCTGAATCAGGTACCAGACTCAGAAATCAGCTACAGGATTCATACTATTCACAGCATTATAGAATCATTAAAGGTTGGAAAAGATCTCCAAGATCAACTAGTCCAACCTTTAACCAACCACCACCTTGTCAACAGGACCAGAGCACTAAGGATCACATCCAGTTGTTTCTTGGACACCTCCAGGAACAGTGATAACCACCTCCCTGGGCAGTCTGCTCCAATGTGACCCTTTCCATAAAGAATGTTCTCCTGATGCCCAACCTGAACCTCCCATGGTGCAGCTTGAAGCAGTTTCCTCTCATTCTGTCACTTGTTATCTTTAAGTGGCTGAGCCTGTCCTGGCTCTAACCTCCTATCTGGGAGTTGTAGAGAGATAAGGTCACCCCTGAGCCTCCTTTTCTCCAGGCTGAGCCCCCTCAGCTGGCACAGCTGGCCTGGTATGATTCGCTCTCTAGACCCTTGGCCAGCTCCACTGCCCTTCTGTGGATGCTCCAGCACCAGCTTCATTACAAGTTGTAACACTAATTCAAGAAGAGTAAGACCAGGCTGCATTAAATCACATTACCATTCCATGATAAAGAAAGAATAACATGTAACTGCACATTGTTTCTTTTTTGTTGTTTACTAGCTGCAAGAGTAAGCATACATGTCTTTTTAAATGCAGAGTGATAACTAAAAAGCACATCCACACTCAAACTTAAAAGCAGAATGTTAAGAACTACAAACTCTAAAGGATAAGAACTCACACAGGAAATATTTCAAATGGTGTATGTATTTCCACACTAATACTCAAATAATATGCAATTTATAAGACTGTCCTGTAAAATGCAACTGAAAAATGTATGGTTCTTTTCTTCTGTTACATTCTGTTGCAAGACCTGGACTCTGTACTGGCCTTATCTCCTGTCAATGCCTGTCAAAACAGTCTTATTCTGCTAAAAAGGGAGCTTATATGAATGAATATTCCATCCTCACATTGTTCTAGTATTGGAAAAAAACAGAAGCAAAGGACTTTAAAGGCCAAGTGCCTCACAGAAGCAAGCCAAAGAACAAAAACACCTCCTGTAATTTGAAACTGGGCAGTATCCTACATATATCTCATATATATTGAGAAAATATTTAACAAATTTGTACTTCACAAATTCTTATTTGAGGAGGAAAAAAAAAAAAGCAGCTGTATTTCTGGTTTGCTTTTAATGAAGGAAGAAACTAAATGTTTTCCACAACACTTCAGCAACAGTAACAAGCTCCTTTGCTGTTTGGTAATGACAAGTGCTACAGCCTATTTTCAGGCACAAAACCATATATTATACAGATAATAGAGTAACAAGGCAAATGATAATAAAATTTAAACATTTCACTAATTAGATTACTTTTTATAAAAATGCTGCCCTCCTCATTCTGAAGATTGTAGGTAATCCCTGACACACTAATTTTGAAATGCAGGAGCAGATGCTCTCTGTTGGCCAGCACAAGTCTAAGGAAGGGTTCTGAAGTTCACTGGTTTAGAGGACTGCTGGCTTTCAGCAGAAGTTAGCTGCATGCTGACAGTCCATTGTATATATAGCATTCACAGCAACTGTTGAGTGTTTGCTTATTAAATAACAGACTTGGAAGAGGAGCAAACACCACAAGTGTACATTGCCTTTATCCATTTATCTTTTCCTACGGCAATGTTGTCAGTCATATAAGTGAAAGTGACAACTTTCATTGTTTTGAAAACAACCTTGTTCTCTCTCGTAACCACAACTTTTCCTTTATGAGTTTTCTCTGTAGCTACTGTGAAGTGACAAAGACATCAAATATCTATTTAATTACAGCACAACTGCTCCCTTTTACCAGAAGGCCCATATCTGTGAGCACATAATTGCTCTGAAAAATGCAAGATTACACTCCGTACACTTTCACAGCACACCCGTACAAACCTCACAACCTGGCCCACATTTTATAATCCCTCAGAACCAAGTTTCACACGACTTCGCACTCACATCCTGCATATGCTGAAGCAGAATTCCCCATAAGTAGTGCTGAAGAACCAGAGGGCAAAGAAGATACTGCCAAAGCACTGTAACAAGAGGCACGATTAAGCATGGTATGTGATCCAACACTGATCTGCTTGGGAGAGACAATTGGTCCTATCACAGTGCCAGAGGAGGAATGTTGTTCCTTGACACCAGTGCCTGCCCGCTGCCTGCTCCAGAGGGAGACAGTGTCTCTGTAACAGCAGAGGGTCAGCCAAACAAAACAAGGCAAATGCTGATATTTGGTGCACTTTTTGTCTGCAGCGCCTCCAAAAACACATTTAATGAAACTGATGTTCATCACGTGTTTTCCAGGCTGGGATACAGGAGCTCCCTGTGCTGATGAGTCTCTGACTAACTCGGCAAGGCGCAATCCAGATCGCGAGAGGGGCTCGGCAGAGGGCCAGGGCCGGGCACAGCTCCGTGAGGCTGCCGGGGCAGCGGGTTCGCTCGGCTCCGGCCCAGCCCGGCCCGGCCCGGCCCGCACCGAGCGAGTGGGGAGCGCTGGCGCTGCCCCGCCAAGCGCGTCCCCCGGCCCGCTCCGGAGCCGGCTCCAGGCCGCCTCCGCCGAGACGCTCGGCCGCTCGCCGGGGCTTGGCTCCGAGCACGAATGTCTCAGCCGACGCGTTACCGACAGCTCCGACCGCCCGCAGGGACGCCGGTAAGCCCCGAGGCGGCGGCAGCAGCAGCAGCAGCGGCGGCGCATCACGGCCGGGCCGAGCCGACCCCCAACCGCCGCCCCCCGGGCCCGGCCCCCGCGCCTACCCGCTAGATAGTTGGTCCACTTGTACAGGACCCCCTCCATCGCTCAGAGCCCGGCGCCGGGCCGCATCCTCCTGCTCCGCCGCGGGGAACGGGCGGCCGCGGCCGCCGCGGGGATGGCGCTCCCCTCCCGGCCCCACCGCTGCCTCCCCCGCGCGGAGGCGGAGCCGCTCAGCTCAGGCGCGGCGGCCGCGGCGGCTCCGGCGGCGCCGCCCGCCCCGCGGGGCGCTCTGCATCCCCCATGCGCGCCCGGCCGCGCTCCCGGCCCCGCCACCCCGCGGCCGCTTCCGACGTCCCTTCCACTTCCTGAGCGGAGAGGGCGGCCCGAAGAACCGCCCGCCCCGCGGCCGCTGCCTGGGCCGGGCTCGTCCCCGCGTCCGGCGCGACTGAGGCGGAGCGGCGGCGCTGGCTCGGCCCCCGCCCCTCGGCGCGGCGGGGACAGTGCCACGCCGGCGGCCTCCTCGGAGCGACATGGGCCGAGGGCTGAGCCTGCTCCTGCTGCCGCTGGCGCTGCTGGCGGCCCCGGCGAGGGCCGAGGGCGGCACGGCGGCAGCAGAGGAGGTTCAGATAGAGGTGCTGCACCTCCCCGAGACCTGCAGCCCGAAGAGCAAGAAGGGCGACCTGCTGAACGCGCACTATGACGGATTCCTGGCCAGCGACGGATCCAAGTTTTACTGCAGGTGAGCCCCCGTGGCACCGGGTCGGAGGACGGGCGGTGGGCGCTCCACGTGGCACAGCCGCTCCGCGCACCCGAAGCCGGATAAGCGGGACTCGGGGCGCTCCCGGAGAGCCCACAGCTCGGGGCCCGTGCTGACTACATCAGCAATAGGGATTTCTCCCCGTCTCAACCTTTACTTGTCCTGGGCCGAGTGTTGAACGATGCAGAGTTTCCCTAGGGTCAAACTAGGGAGTCCCTAGGAGTCCCAGGGTCTCAAGGGAGAAACTTCGAGAGCCTGTAGCCCACACCTCACATGGAGCGCCCTTTGTCAGAGTGGAAAAAAACCCCATTATGTTGATACTTGTCGTGTTCTGTGCTGTAGCCTGTGCAGAAAAGGTCAGGTTGGGAGGAGGAGCTCCTGGTAGGAATGCACGCTGACAATTTTAGGCAGAAACTTTTATATAGCGTCCACTTCCACATAGTTGGCACTGTGCAGTGCAACCACATTATTATACTAGTGGTTTGCAGCCTTTTTGCCTCGTGCCTGTTTTCCTTCTTGATTTGTTGTGCCGTCCATTTTACCGCAAAGTTATCATTTTGTCGTACTTTTTCACTTTGCCCCATCCATCTATCCTCAGACAATAGCTTAACTCATTACAAAATCATCCGTTCCCCCACTTATAAATGTAGCAGAAAAAGTGTTTATACTTTGTATTCTTGCACTCTAAACATTCTTGTGTGCTAATAATCTATGTTCTTACTAACTGCAACTAAAAGTTATATTTATGTTAAAAAACATTATATTAATGTTACTCATACAGAATATTTTTTTTTAATAGTCGGACGCAAAATGAAGGTCATCCAAAATGGTTTGTTCTGGGTGTTGGACAAGTCATAAAGGGCTTAGATATTGCTATGATGAATATGTGTCCCGGAGAAAAACGGAAAGTGACAATTCCTCCATCATTAGCATACGGACAGCAAGGATATGGTAAAAAAGAAGTTCTAACGCCAAGCTTTGTCTTTCCTGTGTTTTTTACCCTTTGAAACATACAGTATTGTAAATATCTGTGAGAACTGGTGCTCCCATTTGGGGGCAGTGCAGCTGTGCAGCCCCAGTCCTGCTCATTGCTACACAGTTTAAGTAGTCCTGACCACAGACCCACACCCAGGTCTTGCAGTTCCCATTAGAACTCAGGACACGCCACCCAAAGGGTTTTCCCAAGTACTGCCATAGTGTGAAAAACCGGCAGCAAAAGGAAGATCTCCATGAGCCATATCAGCATTGTTGTGTTAATATATTAAATTCCAGTCAAATTTGGGATTTATTATTTGACTGCTACCTGTTTAGCCTTTTAACGAAAATCTGCATCTTCTGAGTAAAATGGACTATAATGCAGTGCAATTAATCTAAGTAGAAATAATTTGCTTAAAATACTGCTTACATTCTGAATAGTTAATGGCTCTCATTATCACATTACACAGTAATTGCAGCAGTGCAGTGCATGAAATCTGATTTGAATATAAGATAATTCAGTGTGCAGATTACTAAAAAAAGTTCCAGTACATGTTTTAGGCAGTGTTTCAGCACTCAAATGTAGATGGATTCAGCTCTGACCTGGGTGTAGTAGTTCTGTGAAAAGGTAACTCCTGCTCTACAATAATATTTTGGTATTGATGTATCAGAATTCAGTGCACCAATTTTGTCTTTAATACAATTTCATACAAAAAGGAAAAACACTGATGTAAATAGAAAATGTTCTTTAATACTAGTGTTAACTGTTTGTTCCAGGTAGCACTTGAAGGAAGTAGTATTTTCCTACAGCACACCTGTCCTCTGTCTCAGCGTATTCCTGCATGCTGGGGAAGATACCTGCCTAATCTTGAATTAGAAAAGATGCATGTGGCTTTCTAAACCTTTACATGTCTTTCCTTTGTTGGTATGTATATTTGTAAACTGCTGGCACTGAATTCTAGTATTGTATCTTTCTTTTGTAAGGTGTATTTAAATCATGATTTGTATTCAGATGTATTTAAAACTTCTACTTTTCTAAAGCATGGAAAGTTAAAACCTTTTGAACTCTGAAACCTGTTATTTTTACTATGGCTACTTTAGATGAGTAGTGTAATAGTTTTGTCTTCTGTTTACAAACAGTGTAGATTCCTTAGCTTGTCTTCAGTTTATGAAGGATGGACATGAGCTCAAAATTCTGAGGTTACAGTGTCATGCTCACTGGCTTTGGCAGCTTGCATGTTTACATTTTAATTTTACACTGCATGATTTCTTTATGCTCTTTTGGCACTATTTTTAGACCTCATTGGTTTGTTGCTGTCTCTTTTCAGTTCCTTTTTTTTTGCCAGATGCATGGTACATGGACCTGTGTTTGTAGGCAGAGCTGGTTTTACATCAGGTGACAGAAAATGCTTTGATCCAGGAACAAAGAATTCTAACAGTTATTTTCTTAATTCAGAGGCCAGACAAAGTATTCCAGTAGTTTGAAGATTCTGGGGGGATTTTTAGCAAGTCAGATGACTTACACTCTGTTGCTGCTTTTTGAGATGTACATTTTAAACATTATTTTACAGTGTACATAAAATACCTTTTACCACAGGTATAATTCATACAAAGTAGGTCAAACATGTCTGTTTCTTCAGACAGACAATGCATAGGAGCATTGATCCACTACTGTTATATTTTAAATCAGATTGCAGCTGTTTAATAAAGGCATGTATCTTAGAACCAATCTCTAAATAAGCCCTATGACAGGGTGTGAAAGAGTGAGAACTTTAGAATTACTTGTTTTTCATGATAACCATTCACCTGATTTCTGAAAGTACCTGAGTTGGTATGCAATACAGTTTTGTTTCAGGCAAGTACATGATTAGCAAGTTTCTTCCAAAATCATTTATCTTAACACAATCTTCCTGTCTAGATGTACAACATTTGAATTCAGAGTTTAATCTGAAGATTAGCACAGCCTTTTTGTATTAAAAAATGCTTTACCTGTGAATTTATCTTACATGTGATCTCTGCCCCTAGTGTCTGATTCCTTAAATGCTTTTTTTTCTTTTATTCATAGCACAGGGCAAGATTCCACCCAATGCAACACTGATCTTTGAGATTGAACTTTATGCAGTAAATAAAGGACCTCGTAGTGTTGAAGCATTTAATCAAATAGACAAAGACGGTGACAAGAAACTCTCTGAACTTGAGGTAACATGATGCAAATAATTTGAAACAAATAATTTGTAAAACTGTAAGTGTGGCTGCATCAGTTTTATCTTTACATGAGCTGCCTCTGCTGCAGCTGATCATGTAAGGTTTCTGTGTGTTGACACAAACTACACTGTACTTGGTTTGCTGAAATTTGCTTTAATACATTCATCAGTCTCACACTTCCTGTAGACGTGTCTGCACTGGAATCACAATGCATTACTTGTATACCCCCAGTGTCCTTGAAGATATAGATTGAGTACTGAGATAAAAGTCACAATGATTTGACTTTTTTCTTTTCTTCTAGATAAGCCAGTATTTGAAAGAAGAATTTGCAAGAGATGGCAAAAAACGTCACCCTTCCGCCCATGATGAAATCTTAGCTGATATATTTAAGAAGAATGATCATGATGGAGATGGCTTCATATCAGCAAAGGAGTACAATGTCTACCAGCATGATGAACTCTAACTACTTTAAAAAATCTTTGGCTGTTTTCTGCACACTGAATTCTAAATAATACTTTGTCACAGAATTTTTGTATTTTTTTTATAGTGGAATCTTTTTATATCTCTTAAGATGACTGTAAAAATCTTATTTTTAACATTCAGCTAATAAAATGTGTCAGATGTTTCTAAAGAAAGAAATAAAATTGAAGTACACCATGATCTAATATTTGTGGTTCTTACAATCTACAGTATTGCTCACTAGTCTCTCATTTGGTGAAATACCAATGAAAATAATTATTTCTGTTCTATTGAGCAGGCAAAAGTTACAGTAACCTTTGACATTGCTGTAATGTAACTGCTGGACACTTCTGAATCCCCTGTAAAATAAAAAGAGAATCCCAGGAATATAACTCTTAGACCCCTGCAGGCTCGTAGCCTATCTTCTTGAGGAAAGGCCATTTGTAGCAATTACCTATAAAGGGCCTTAAAATGGGTCAACTCTGTCTATGGAATGTTAAGATAAAAATAAAAAATGTTTGCAAAACAACTTAAAATAATCTCTTTGATGTAATATTAACAAGAAGAATTTGGTGTTGAAGAAAAAGCAGTATTTTAAGTGAGTATTTAAACTTTGACTTAGTAAAATCATGAAGTTAGCCAGTTTATTCAGCAGCATCCAGCATCAAAAATCTACAATATCTTAATTTAATTGAATGAGGTTGAAGATGATGGGAGATGCTGTATATAAACCTAAGTAATTAATTATTTGGCCATCATTCTAGTTTTCCTCACTGGAAAAATGCAAAGAAGTAGCAATAGTTAATAGTACTTGTTTCTGTTAACTATTCTGCTTGTGCAGAACACATCATAACACTTGTGTAACATAATTCACTCTTCTCACATGAAGAGCAATGGCTGTATTCATTTCAACATGTAATAAGCAGATGTAGACAGTGAGAGTCGCAGCACAAATGAAAAAAGCTTCCATACCTAGGTTATCCTTGAAATAATTTTAAAAGGTATAAAAAGGTTTTTTGCTCTGCCAGTGTAAAACAGTGTGGTGAGAGGTTTTACAGCACCCTGCCCCACAGCCCAATCCCAGCCCTGGACACAGCTCTGTGGTGTTCCAGTCCTCAACAGACTCAATTTCCTGAGGCTGCAATGCACCTGTTAAAGACCTTCCTCCCTGAAGTCTTGTTGGAGTGAGCAGTTCCATTATTTTCATAAGCTTCCAAAACATTTGCTGCTAAGCAGTTTTGGGTTTTTTTTGAGCACATAAAAGAAAGTCAAGAGCAGCTGTGACACAGAATCCAACTGCAGCAGGTAGACTGGCTGGTACTTCTTCATAATTAAACAAACTTGATATTCACCAACAGTGTCCTAATATGAAGCTCCCATCCATAGTTCCAGTTGTTCCCTTTTGTAACTGAAACATTAGACTGAGTTAAGTTTTAGCATGTTTTTTAATCTGATACTTCAATTAAACATTCATGAGAACACTAAATTATTAACAAATATTCTCATTTAACCATCATATGCCAGTGTAGAGAAAGGCAACATTTTGGGGTTTAACAACAAGTTTGTGTAAACAACTTTAAGTTCTAGCATATATTTTGACATTATGAAAATACTATTTAAAAGTATGTTTTTCATTATCTTGATAATGAGAAGGTTCTAGGAAAAACAGGAATGTCAGGAAATTCATGTACATTTTAAAGCAGAGGTCATTGACTGTGAAGCACAGAATTTGAAGATAACAGCGTAATAAAACATTTTGCACTTTCACTGTTTTGCATTTCACAATTGGAGACATATTTACTAATGCTGAAAAGTTTGTGGCACAGTTATGCCCATGTATGTGATAACAGGCACCTACCCAGTTCAGTTACTTCATTCTCTTATGCCAGAGGTCAAAACAGGGCACAGCATGCAGTCGTACATACTTCTGTCCATTAAAAGAACACTCCAGGCATCCATAGACTGTCTCCCTTTTTGAACTTCCCATTCCACAAAGGACACAGGGGCCTTTGGGGATGTTGTTATTGAGTAAATTAATTCGGATGTGAGAACCGTCTCTGAGATAGCTTGTAGAGAGATCAGTCATGCTTGCAGCTTTTTCATAATAATCTGCAAAAAGGTCCTCCAAGTAAGGATCAGAGTTAGCAACGATTTCCACTACTCCTTTATCTGAAAAAGAATGCAGAAGGAAAAAAAGCAGTATTTTGTTATTACGTTATGACCTGTTGTATAGAAATAACAACTGATGCACAAAACTGTTCTAAGCATGCCATATAGATTGCTTCCCATCAAAAACCCTGTGAAGAAAATTTTTCTTCACTTAAGACACTGACAAAAGCCAGAATTTTTTTGTATATGACCTATGTAATTATTTTTTTAGAAATATATCTAAAGGATAGGCATGCAGCAGCCTTCTGAGAAACTGGTGCAAAGTCAAGCCACAGCTGTGTACTTCCTTGTTTCTCTTTTTGCATTTCTAGTTTTATGTTCTAAACATTTAAATACACTTTTATTTCCTATTATTTACAAAAAAAAATAAATCTCACTGATACTTAATATGTTTAGAAAACTCACAGGACTCCTTGTTAACCTCCTAGCAGATTTCTGAGCATCCAGGTGTGCCAGGTAGGAACTAGCTACCTTTTCCTGTCTCTTCAGGGACTGACTAGACTGAGTGAAGAATGTTTAGGCAGCTACAGCTCCTGAGATCATACCCACTGAAGATTTATTCCCCTTGTGTGGACTGGAGCAGCACTAAAGGCTTGGCCCATAAGTCCTTTGATCAAGAATGGGATACAGTGGAGGAAGAACATCCATACACGGCAGCTTTTGGGACATGTTTACTGCTCAGCATTTGTCTTCACACTCAGATCTGCAGATTTCCAAAGTACTTGCACCAAGGAGTGTTACAAGTTTAAGATCTTGGTCTAAAGCTGCATACAGGGATCCACATTTTCGTTGGATGCTATGTTCATATTAGAATGAAGAAAGAGGACTATGATGGTATCCTGCCACAGGCACATAGTGCTCAATTCAATTATTGCAGTTAATATTGTTTGATATTTAAACTTACAGCTTTTGCCTTCAACTATTACTAAAATTATAACTTGTATAATATGAGCTGTAAATGGCAAATACATGAAATAGGCTCAATGTTAAGTTAGCTGTGTAATTACTCACTACCAGTTTATCAACAGCCATACGTTTTTAGATCTTTAGAGTTTAATGAACAGATTTGTTATTTCTGAGAGACAGGTTCTCAAGTGTAAATTTTAATAACTCTATAATCATTTCAATACACTAGAAACTGAGAGGTTCATTTTGTGTCAGATTTTTTTTCTTTAAACATTCATCTTGGGTAGAAATTAAAGAAACAAAGATACACTTTTAAATAAGACATTCATATATAAATATCAAAAGACATACTTCGATGAAACAGATTATTCTTTAATCTCCTGAATTTGGTCAGTGAAGATGATGCAGATTTCTCTCTTTCAAATCCTCCTTTTGCAATTGGAGTCACACAGAGTTCTATAAAAATTAAAAAGTTTTTAAAAGGACTAAATATAAAAGACATAATTACACAACAATTTAATATGCTTTCTAATCAATAAAGTTAACAGTTATTAAATCTAGCTTTGCTAATGTTTTTAATGGCTAGTATAACTTTTTAATACAAGTCTGCACACAGTAATAGCCCACAGGATCAAGCAACATGGATTTGATGGGAATTTTTAACTGTTGGTGGCTTTCAATTAACATCCTCAGAGCCTGTTTTGGTTCACACACAAGTTTTGGTCATGTTAAGGGGTCAGGACAGCCAGTAGCCTAACAATGGAAGCCCTGGTTCTGAAGGACAAACATTTCTGTAGTCTTACTTGAAAGTAGAAACGAAACAGCAAGGTTGTGAGTTCTGTACTTATCACTTCCAATACTGAATTCTATCCATAACTTGAAAGAAACACTTTAAAGTAAAATCTATGTTATGCAAATTTTTTATTTGTTTCCAATTGCAGCAATTAATTCCTCCTAAATGGCTTTAGATATTTATATGTGCAAATGATGTATCAGACTGAAATTAGAGCCCCAACAGAAAAAAAAAAGTTAATACTTTAGTTTCTGTACACTTTTTTCTTTACTTGTATCTTTGTACTTGCCTATTTTATGCAAAACTGATGAGATAGTCTCAGAAACCTGTTCCTCACCAGCTAGAAATATAACTAAGTGGGGCTTTTTGTTCCATGCAATCACAATTTTAAAATACCAAGTCTAACTTTTAAGAAATGTTCCCACAGCAGACTATTTTCTAGCACCTGCCTTGTTTATCTTTGCAAGCACTGTTTCTCTCAGAATGTCAGAATACTTATGTGCATAAAATTAAAGCATCCCATTGTATGGGATCAGGGCTTATGTATATCAAGAGCAATAAAACAGATTTAAAAACTTAGATCATTATAAATAATAGCAGTAATGACTGTAATTCACATCACTTACCGAAATTACCATCCAAATGGATGTAGAGTTCAAATACACTAAAAGCAATAGTTGTATGTGCAGGAAAAACAATGGCTTTGTCCCGCCCTTTATAATTCTGATCTTCAATTATGTGAAACTATAATTTAGAGAAGGATCAAAAGAAAAAAACATTACAAATTTAAATGAATAAATAAACAAAATACTAATCTTAACTTCATATATTGAGAATTATAACGCCAGAGGGAAACTTTGAAGATCAAATTTCACAACTGAAGAATTTTCTATTAACTACTTTGCATTTTAATAAATTTTGATACAGAGAGAGTAATTTTCATCACTTACTGAAAATTATGTGAACGATTTATTAATACTAGAAAGAGCGAAGTTAGAAGACTTGTAAGTTTCATTATTATTACACATCGAGGGGGAAGGGGGAGGAAGAGCATAAGACGGAGTAAAATGCCGACCATTCAAATAATAACCTGAAATTCTGATGTGTTACAGAAGATGATCATAATAATGAAAGAAAGGTTATATATGATTAGAAAGTCAAACTAAGAAGTAGTAAATTCCACATTTTTGCCGAGGCTTTACCCCAAGCAATGGCTCATTGTCTAGCCATTCTTTCATGCATTTCCCATCCCTCTGTCATAACAGCACTGCTAACAAAAGAACCACTAAACCACTTTACAGTAATAAAATAATATTGATTTACTTTAGATTTTTTCTGAGCTTACATTATGAAAACACAATTAAATCAAATCATAAAATTTATAATAATGAGCTTTTTATGCTTGATCATTTGAGTTACAGAACTTTGTCAAACATATTTACCCTCATTGTCTCTCCACGCATTCCAGTATGGACAGTTAATGAGCACTGCCTTGTAGTTCGAATACTTTCCATGACCACACACAAAATTTCCATCCTACTTTTTCTTGATTGATGGACTAGACAATGATCAAAGTTTATTTTTCTAAAATCAAG